TCATTGTTATCTGAATGTTACGCTATTTGTAAATTCCGAATTTACATTCTTTATTTTATGATTATCAGAGGCTTGTGTAATGAAATTTTATAAATAAACTAATTTATAAATTAAATTCTACTCAGCAAATTGTTGATAAATAGATTTTTTCTTACACGTTTGTTTATAATATTAATTAAACAATAACGTATGAATTGGTCTGATGTAATTCTCATGTATAAGTTTCTGAGAATCTATTAAGAAATGTGTCGATTAACTGTCAATAAGGTTATTGTTGAAATAAACTTACTGACTTGAGCAGATAACAGCAGAAAGAATGCATAATGAACAATAATTAAATTAACTTTTGCTGAATTAGCATAAAACAGTGATATTAGACAATTTTCAGCTGTAAACAATGATAAAATCTTTAACATCAGTATTATTCTACAGTTTAACTATAAAAATCTTCCACAGTTACGAAAAATATATTTACGATAGTATACTGGGGTCTCAAAACCATTAGTATTACTGACAATAGACAATATCATATAGTTTTTCTCATATAATAAATTAATAATAAAAATAATAAATGCAATATTAAGTATATATTAAAATTTTAAAAACACGAAATAGTTGAGCTTTTATTTTATTTGTTTTTTTTCCTGAAAGTTTTGTTAGTTAGATTTTATTTTTGTTGTTTCTTTACTGGAGTATATCAGTTAATAATAAGTGATTAAAATCATTTTTACAAATCAAGTTTGTCATTGTTTTGCCTAATTCTTCCATGGACATGTTTTGTTTGATACCCTCATCAGCATGTCATTCTCTAGTATTGTATTTAAACCTGTGGATTTTATTTCATTGTAATTTATATACATAATTTCTCTGTAATTTATCTGCAGATTTAACTGCAACAATTTGTCTATTTGAATCTACACGTTGCTTTAAAAAGAATAAAATTATTTTTCATTAAAAAAATTTATTACTTTATTTATATACTTTTTTCCATTCATGATTTCATTGTTTAATGTTCACAGGCTACTTAAAGGATTTGAATTTTAATGTTTTTATTTAAAAAAGGAAATAATATGTAAATAGTTTGAATAGTATATAGAAAAATATTCGTTAATAACATTTTTCAAGCAATCAATAATTGTTAAAAATAGTCTTATTCATATTATAGCGAACGTTTCATATCCTAACATTAATGAAAGCTTAGGAAAACACCTCAAGAATTTATCTTTAAAATGGATGCGTTTTGTGTAAAACGTACTTTTTCTCCAAAATTTCCATTTTCATAAATCAACGTGATTTATTTCAAGTGATTTCGTATGTGATACCATATTTAAGCTTATCGCGTAACCTTTTAAATAGTCGCCATCTTATTTCAGAATGGTGGTGAAAAAACAAAAATAATTTTGTAGGATTAAATATATATTCATTAATTTTAGCTAAAATTTCCTTCGGGAAAAATTAAAGTTTGATGAATAATTAAGAAGTGATCATTTAAAATATTTATTATAATGACCAAAAAATTAATAATTTAATTACTGTATTTAAATATTTATGAAAAATATATTCCATTTTATTCTTATAAAATACATTTACAATATTAAAAAATAACATTATAAAAGTAAAATTTATATTAATATTTGTAAATCAATAATAATATAAATTTGATTAAATATTATAACACATTGATTACATATAATAACGCGAAACTTCTGAAAGATATTTAAATTTCTCTATAACTAATAAATACGCAAATAATTAACTGTATCTAATTAACACGATAATTATATTAATTATTATTATTAAAATTAATTATTTTGGATACAATTACTTCAAAATTAAGCAAAACTTTGCCAGTTTTTTAAATGATAAATTGATATGTCAAAGATTGAAATATAGTGTTTGGGACTAACCATAAATTATGTAACGCAGATAATCGTTACCATGCATTATAAGAGGGTGAGGGTGCTTACAAAAACGCAAAGTAATGCTAGGGTCTCAACCCTTGGATAACAGAATGGCATTTTTGTTTCTGAAGTATTGCATAGCCAACCGTACTGTTTATGTTACTGCTTTGCACATTATTAATGCAATTAATAAAACAATGTAAAGTTCTGTACCCCGTGGTGTGTATTATTCCTTAGTACAATTAAGGATTTCGAGGATATGCGTTACGTAATTTTGGGGTGAGTATGTGCGACAGCGTTACTGAGCGTTACAGAGGGTGGGATGGTAGTTGAAACGTATAAAAATAGAGTTATGTAATTTATGGACGATCCTTTCGTAATAATATTTATTTAATTTACATATTAATATCAGGAAACAATTATTATTTATGTGACTTTTTTAATTTGTTGAAAACATTTTAACTTTTTTCATTTATGTATCAGATTATAAGTTGACTATTTCATATTTTATGATAGTTTGTTTCAGCACGTTTTGCGTTACGTTATTCTTGAATAATTTCTACTTTCGGAAAGTCAAATTGTTCTTTTCAAATATTTAATTTGGGTTTAAAAACGATTCTAATTTTAAATAATAATAATATTGATATAAAACAATTTTAGATAAGAGAAAAAACATTGATTCAGCAACTTTATCGTTAATAAATAAATAACTAAACAATAATAATACTATAATTCAAGAGGGTTGTGGACATTACGCATTCAAGACTCGAGGGCTTCCTGCATAAAACATGGCTACTTACTTTACAAGTCTTATAAGAATACAATTATTATTATTATTATTATTATGATTATTATGATAAAAGAAAGTTTGTTATTTTAAAGACAAACAGAAAATTCGGCTCGTTATGGGCTTTTTTTTACCTTTGGACCTATACAATTATCAATTTTGTGTATTGATTAATCCATTCCTGCTTTAATTAAGAAAATTTTTATGAACTATTATAATAAAGAATATGAAATTAATGCTAAATTTATAAAAATATTCTTAATTTACTAATTTAATTGGCTTAAATTTAAATTTATATAATTATCAAATAAAAATATAAATTACAGAAGTAGCAATATAGGAAATTGTTTGTTTCGAAACCAATTTTCTATACTACTTTCGTAATCTAAGTATCGCTTTTTATAATTTAATATTCTAATTGAATGAATGTGTACTCATTTCATAGGACTATCTCGTAAAATATGGGATGGATTATCTATCATGTAACATTATAGGAGTTATGTACGTGTATTATGCAAGCAATCAAGTTATCGATATAACTTGTAGCCTTTGCTTCATCTATGTGTTTTGATGTATTACTTTTCCCACCTTATTAAAAAATAATGATAACTTAAAAATAAAAAAAATATATAAAATTAGAAACTCAAGGTTTCTTAGGGTCTAATTATTGAAAAGTTGAATCGATTCCAATAATTTAATTATATTGTAAAGTCTTAAATTAAAATCATAAAAATACTACTGTAATATTTTAATTTAATTTAAAATATTATTAAAATTTACTTATCTATTCAGCTTAAAATAATTAAATAAAGTCTCTATTATTATTAAAGTACGAAGATAAATGAAACTGTACACCCTCATAAGTAAATATGTATAGACATATATAACCTGTTGTGTATTTAACGTGATTGTTGTTATAATCTACGTTAAAGAAAACAGAAGAAAGAAAATAGAAATAATTTACTCGCTAGTAAATCTCTTTATGTAATTTTATTTACGAAGGAAAAATGAGGAAAACTGCTTAAAATATAAGGAAAAAAAATTATTTTTTCTTAACACGCTCATACACATTGATATATTAATTAATAATAGTAAATTTTTTAAAAAATAACTTGTTAGTTATGTATTTTTTAAATAATTTTCTTCATTATAATAAGATTTTTGCAAGAAAACTCGCAATTACTCTATTATTTAATCGTTGAAAAATTTTAGTTTTAAACATTAAAAAAAGTAAATAAGTAATTTTACTTGCAAATAAATATAAACATGTTAAGTATTTAAGAAATTTTAAATTTACTTACATTAAAAAATAATAATTTACTGAAACTATTTTACTGATGAAGGGAGAAGAAGAAATAAGGGGAGGAAAAAAAAAGTCAATTTATTGATTTAAAAATTTATTTGTAAAAACATTTGCAAAATTCTATAATTATTTATTTGATTTTATTATTTAAAAAGTAATTTTTCCAAGTATAATATTTTTGAAAAATGCTTCATTCTATACATAAAAATTTTATGTACATGAAAATTAATGTTTGTTAAAGAAATTAAATATAGGCCATTTTAAAAGGATAATTTATAATAAATCGCTTCTTTAATCACTGTATAAGCTTGTTTAAATTATCTTCCTCGATTAGTGATTTGTTTATTATGCACAAAATTAAATTATAATAAAGTATCGATAGATAATGATATTTTTCCGACGAAAAGGGGGGAAAAACGTATTTATGGATTTACAATTGTTTGCGTTTTTCTTCTGATCGAGTAGAGATATCAATATAAAGAATTTTTAAAGTACAAACAAATAATTAATATGTATTTAGAACTTTAAAGGGAGCATTTAAGAGTAATAAAGTGAAGCAATTAATTCAGGAAATATAAATACATAGATAAAAATATCGCAGAAACTTAAGCTTTACGACAAAAATTAATCGAAGTATTACACAATTAAATTCTGCTTAATGTATAGATTAATTATATTATTCACCGAAATTCATTTAGGAAAGTTTATACAATTGAAAATAAAAATTTAAATAGAAACATTCATCGAATAAGAATGCAAAAAAACCACATAGACGCATATAATATATACAGTATATATATATATTATATTACACTACACAATCACTTTTTATTCAGAAAAACTTAGAAATAAATTAAAATAAAACTAACAGAAAAGTCATTATTAATATAATACATATAAAATTCGTTTAAATAATTAAGAGATTAACCGAACGATCGACGGATTATATTTCTAACATGGGAATTTTATAATAAGGATGCCATACGGCTGCGTAAGGATATACATTTGTGACGAGTGGAAAATAGTTCCAGCACCATTTCTGGCTTATTCTTGAATTGGTGATGGTCAAGCGAAATCATTTTTAGATTGTTTTTAAAGAAAAACAAAACAAAAAAAAAGACAAACAAGATTATTAAAATTAAGTGTCTTCCGATATTAATTAGGATACGTTAGTAATGTTGTATAGACTATCGAGTTTCCTGCTTTTATTAGCTATCTGGGAATGTGCAATTATTAAGGTAAGAAAGAGCATTTAAATTTCTTTAATGTTACGAGAAATTCGTAAAAATTACAAGAATATCGATTAATTAATTATTAATTTCCGATTTGTTGACGATTTTTTAATACGGACAGACAGACAGACAAACAATCCATTCATTGATGTCTGCGATTTTTTTTTTCCTGTTTTTTTCCCTCACCCTTCAACATTTATGCAAACTTATAGATTTATCTATAATTTCTTGCATACAGAATTGTATTTTTTTCTTAACTCGGTCATGTTTAAAGAGGGAAGAGAAAAAAATTGAACTCACTTAAGATTAATTCATTCAATTTTAAGTGGGTTTATGTATAGGTCTAGTCTGTGTACTTGAGTTCTGCTTACTAAAAAATGATTTAAATAAAGATTAAAGGCTGCTTTATCTACATTTCTGCTGTAATCAATGATGTATATAATTATTATAAAGATTATTAAAAAAAAAGTTTGTTTTTTTATTTCAGTTTTTTAACTGAAAAAAAGTTTAACAAGAATATATGTGTAAGTATATAAGATTTATAAAAATATATCTTTTTTTCTCCCTACTGAAAGGTTAATTTTGAGTGGTGCGATGATGGGAGAAATGTTTATTATTTCGGAATATAAAAATTTGCTATCTTTTTTTTTAATTGTTGATTTTGATTTTACTGCTCTTTAACTTCTAACCTTTAACCTTTAACCTCTACTGCTTTAACCTCTATTTAGGAGAAATTTACTATCTTGATCTCTATCTGTCGAAGATCGCATTTAATCTGAATCGGTTTTAAAAGATCAAATTTTAGAAAATTAACTTAATAAATTCTGAAATTATATATATATATATACATATATACACTGTCTCTTAAAATTTTCTTTGTAATATGATGATTATGTAATTGAATTTTTAATTTAATCAAGACTTTAGCTTTATAAAAGAATATATTTGAGTCTGTTCTTTTTTAAATGGAATTCGAAAGCTATCTAAAGATTTGTGCTATTTTCAATTAAAAATATAATTTAAATTAATGGTGTAAATATGTTGATTATGTGATTTTTAGTGAAACATACTTTTGTAATATTAAAATTCTTACCTAAATCTACTCATGCTGAAATTGACATATGTTATTACAGAAATGAAATGACAGATATATCTAACTTTCCTTTTACAGTAAAATCAAATTATCATAATTATTATAAATTAGAGAACATTTTTATTTCTAATTTCAAAGATTTAACACATTTATAACAGTTTCAAAAATTAAATGCTGAATATATGATGATAGTAGTAGTAATATAGTTCCAAAATTATACAAAATAATATATTAAAGATTTTTAAAATGTGTATAGTAATTTATTAATGAAATTTTTCTAAATGTAAATGTATTGCAATGAACAATAAGTAAGAATAGCATATCATTAATGTTGATTAATCAAATAGAATTCAAACATTTGCATAAAGTCTGTCTATGAATATTGTCACTTGTAATGTAATCAATCATAGAATGAAAACAAAAAATTATAAAAGTTTTGTGATATGACATGAAAAAGTTCTTTTATTTAAGAATAATTTTATTCTTTTAACATTAAGAAAGCTTTTTTTAAACCTGATCTAATATTTAAAATTTATTTAATATGCAAATATATCCTCATATTCATATTAAAGCTAATTTATTTTTCATTTAATAAATTTTTTCTTTATAATACAGTCTTCATAATAGAATGTTTTTCATAAATTTACCTTAAGAAATATAATTAATTTATCTAATTATAATTGCCTTGACCTAATAATAATTTTTTTTTATAATAATCTAAAATGAATGAATATAGTATTACTATGCAATAAGTAATTTTTTGTTAAGGTAAATGATTTTGAAAGCTTATCTTTGTATTTTATTGAAATGATTCTTAAAATAGTTATTTCTACCTTCTAAAAATATAATTTTGATGTTTATACTTTAAATTTGCAAATGTTTTATCTCCTTGTAATAAAATACTTTTGTACATAGTTTAATATAAAAAAATTTGAAAAAATTATATATATATAATATATAAATGTAAAATTTATATATGTAAAATAGTATTAACTTGATGTAATTTTTCAGTTTTTTTCCAGGAATTTTATAGGATTTTTTATTGCTTTTATAAGTTTTTTCATTAAATGGTATATATTTCTCAAAAAATAAGATATAAACAGTAAAATCAGATTATTATTTAATTACTGTCTCTTTTTATTTGTATAGTTAAATAGCATTATTTCAGGAATCAAAAAATTTTATTTAGTAAATGCTTTCAGATTTATATCCATCAACTGAAATAAAAATATTGAAAAATAAAAAATTGCATCTTTGAAATATTATCAATAAAATATCTATGCAATCACTAAAATTTTTTGCAGTATAACATGTATAATATTTCTTTTAAAATTCTTTCAAAATTTAAAATGTACAGTATAAGGAATATGAAGATTAATTATTTTAGAAAATGCTATGACTGCCATTAATTGAATTTCAAAATTTATTGTTCTATTTCAAAAATATATATATAATATAATAATCTGTATTTTTCTATTCTGTTAATAAAATGTTTCTTTCACAATGTGTACTAGGTAATTCTTTTGCATAAAATTTACTGTATTCTCTTTTACTGAGATCTTTCCTTATAAATTCTGCAAATGCTGTAAAAATACATACATATTTTAATTCATTTTTATTTTATTAATTTAAAACAAATGTAGTAAACTCTTATCTTATTAAAAATTTTTAATTATTATAAGCATTTATTAAATTCTGCAAATAGTAAGTTTATATAATTTTTTTATTATTTACATTCAGTGTTTGATGATGAATGTAAATTTAGAAATGTTTACCCAATAAATGTTCTTGTCTCTTAGAATAAGATTGATTTTGTTATAATTTCTGATTTGTTATTGAGAGATCTCCAAAGTAGAAACCTTTTATATTATATTTTAATTTTTTTAGATAACACAAAATAATTGTACAGAAGAAAACATATAGCTCTATTCTTAATTAAATTAATCACTAAAAATTACATTAATCACTAAATGTAATATTTCTTCTAATCAAGATAGACATTTTAATAAATTTTAAAATGGTAAATATATGACAAATATGCAACTAAAATTTTTGACCACTGTTGTGAATTTTCTTCTGATAGTTTTGCTTAGTTTTTTAATTAAACTAAAATGCATATTAAACCAGTAACAAAAATATTTTTATACATATGCAATAAAAGTTTTAATAGTTTGCTTTTGTAGATTTGACTGTGTTTAAATTAACAAATTAATGTTATTGAATATATAAAATTTGAATCTGAAAACTTTTATAGCAAATTATTTACTAAAAAAGATTTACTAAATGTTACATATAACTTATGTGTATCTGTGAATACTGCTAGTTATAAAAAGTATTGGACATGTTTAATGATGTTACATTTATTTCAAAAAGTGAATGCATCAAGATTTTGTGTACTAATAAATTAATAGTACTGCATTTTATTTTTTAACAATAATGTTTCTATTAAAAAGTATTTCATTTGAAATCATTCTAGGAGTTTTTGAAAATGATTAAATTTGATTTAATTTTATAGATTAGTTTGATAATCTATAAAATTTGAATTTTATATATTTTAAAGATTTATATTGAATCTTTTGTTTTCTGAAGACAAATTACATTTACTATAATATTGAATATATTTATATTTCTAATTTTAAATAAAATAAATGATGAAATATGTTAGATCTAGACTTATGGTGTTTAAAATTGAGTTTTATGCTTTAATTTTTTTACATTTTCCAAATTGATAAAATTAGTTAATTATTGAATATATTAATTTATCTAAAATTGCATTTTGGGGAAAAATTCACACTTTTTATTTTTATAATGAAATGATTACTGTACATTGAATACACATTATTTTATAACAATTTTTTTTATAATTTAAAATTTAAAAATTTCAAATTGTTTGGTTAGATTTAAATATGATAATTTGGTTAAGCTGTAGCAAAATTAAATTCAATTGCATTTATAGCAATGCAATATACATGTTCAAAGAAAGAAAAAAAGCCTCTATTTGGCTAACAAATAACTATTATATTGGCAGCCAACTCTTGTTTTAGTTTTTATTTCCAGAATGGCATGCTATACTATTAAATGAACACAAAAATATTTTAAGAAATGCTATAGTGAATGGTTTGATTAGTTAAAATTCCATTATTATAACATTTATATTCAATTTTTCCACATTGTCTAGTAAACATGGATAATTGGAATTTTATTGACCTCAAAAAAAATCATAAAATAATGTATGATTTTAGGATAACTTTAAATTTGTATTAATTGTCCCTAATGTATGAATTGTGAATAATTATTTTCATGAATTATGAATTGATTTTTTCAATTTTTTGATTTTGTTTTTATGTAAAAATAAATAAATAAATTATACTACAGTTTGTAATCAGATCGAATATTTTTTATATTTAATTGTATTCTGAGATGTAAAAGACAATTGATACATAGTCTAATATGAATGTGCAAGTTATATTCATCATTCAAATAAACTACAATACAGTAATTATTACTATTTTTATTAGATTTTAATATTTATTAATTGTAGTAATTTAAAAAACTTGAGAATATTTTATTACATGTGTTATGTTAATACAATGTTTTTATTATTTTTTTTTATGAGTGGGAAGAAATTGAATATCTCAATCCTACGTTGAATCTAGGCTAAGATGTTTGAATGCTTGAAATTTAAAATATAATTATTTTTTAAATATTAATCTATAATTTCATTTATACCAAAGTTTATCTATAATTTAGTAGATGAATTTATAAAATTGAAATGTAAATACAAATATTATCCAATAATTATTATATTATGCAGTTTATTAAATTAATTGAAAATAGTTTAAATTTGTTTAAATTATTTTGTGATAAGAAAAAAAATATTTGAAACTATTTAATTAATAATAAACATTAATAA